ATCGTTTCTGTATATCCAGCCCGCGTTGGACAGCGCGTTGTTCTTCGTAATGTTCAGACTCACGTAATTCTTCAAGGTCGTCGTTGTACCGGGATTTCTGGACGATCGATTTCCACTCCGTTCAGTTCGTAACGTATCTCGTCGAACATAAGCGCTACCGCATTGTTGTCTAGAGCTACCGTGTCGTTGGTCGATCCTCCCGATAGGCTAAGTCTTCCCTCCACGTATAGGAAGCTTTTACACGGAAGAGTGTACAAGTCTTGATGTTGAATGGGTATTCTTATCTCATCGCTGTTTCCAAACGTTGTATTGGCGTATGGATTGTAAGTGTGCAGGTCGATCTTAGTTATTCGATTGTCGAAGATTGCACGAACTGTCCGGGATGATTATCTCCTCACTCTCGTTACCAAAATAGAATTTATTGTTTCCGATATTTGAACTAATGTTTGGTATCGTGTAAGAAGTTTGCAAATCGAGCAGGCCCAGTTCGTAATCAGCATTGTTGAAATCTATAGGCGGGAAGTACTTGGACGATAACACGCTACTTCTTCCCGATAACGTGAACGTGTATGACATTCTTGCGACGAACTATATCAGAGTTCCTCACAGAAATTTCACACACAATTGCCCGCACACGCTTTCGTCGTCGCTTTCTGTGGTTGAAGATCTCCAAAACTATCGAAGTAACTGACTTGCGAACCATGCTTTATATACGCGACCCAGTGCGTTCCTGAACCATGACCGCTATCCAGATTCACTATTCCTCGTTCGTTTACCCATACTTGTTTCGGCAATTCATCGCGCATGAAAACTCCGCGAAAATGCGGTAATTTTTTACAGGCGATTTTCAATTCAACGTCCGTCGTTGAGTTGCCTTTCTCCTTCCTTTTGTCTTTTTTTCGCGACCCTCAATAGCGCTCCCAAAGCTCCCAAAGCAGGTAAAAACAGAATTCTTTCGACACTGTTTCTATCACCATTCTTTCTCTTTCCTTTGACCGCTTGTCGGACCTCCTTCTTCTTCTTCTTCTTCAGACCCATTCCTAACCTCATCAGAGCTGTTTTTACCAGTCTGTAACGGTATACGGAGCTGTTTTTACCAGTCTGTACGATATACAGAGCTGTTTTTACCAGTCTGTAACGGTATACGGAGCTGTTTTTACCAGTTGTAAACGGCATACAGAGCTGTTTTTCCAGTCTGTAACGGCATACAGAGCTGTTTTCACCAGTCTGTGACGGTATACAGAGCTGTTTTTATCAGTGTGTAACGGTATACACAGTCTGTAAATAGTATATGCAGCTGTTACGCCAAGATTTGTTTTATTTTTCTGTTTACTACGAAAAAAAGAAAAAATGTGCGTACGCGCGCGCGCGCGTGTGTGTGTGTGTCAGCTTACATGGAGATGCGCTCTATCATTGGAATACGGGGAGACTGATATCTACGATGCTCGAGCTCTCGTATAAATATTTTGTCGTTCGAGAGGGAATTTTATCACTAGAAAACAGAGCGAGGGGGGCATGCGTTTCGTACGACAGTCCTTGAATATCTGAGTTCTGACCTGCCGCAGGTTCGATGACCGCGATGAAATAATTCGGAAACACGGATCGTTGCTACCGAGTACTATACAGTGCGTGATAAGCGGCCCGTCAGGATGTGATAAAACGAACGTTGTGATTAGTCTATTGGAGAGTCCGAATGGGCTGCGATTCGCAAACGTGTACGTGTATTCGAAATCGTTGCGTCAACCACAATATCAATACTTGACCAACTTGCTCTCGTCCGTGGGGGATGTAGGTTATTTTGCCTACTCAGACAACGCGGACGTGATTCCCCCGGCAATGCTCTACCGAATTCAAAATTTATCTTTGACGATGTTGCTTGCGACGAACAGGATGTCATGAGAGAAAATTTCGCGATGGGTAGACATTCGCACGTCGATTGTTTCTATCTGTCGCAATAGTACGCGAGAATACCCAAACATTTGATTCGCGACAATGCGAATCTAGTGATTCTATTCAATCAAGATGTCACGAATCTGCGACACGTTCATCAGGATCATGTGAATACAGATATGTCGTTCGAAACATTCAACGCACTTTGTAGGAGGTGTTGGCGAAACAAGTATGGATTCCTTGTAATCGACAAAGACAGCCCTGCGAATCGTGGTCGTTACCGGCGCGGATTTAACGAATTCGTCGTGCTGTGATCGGGGGCTCATTTGGATCGCAAGAGTCGTCAGAGTCGCATCGTACCGCTCGATATGCGTCGGTCTAAGGAAATAGCCAAAGAAATAGCCAAGACTAGTGACGTCATACGTAAAAAGAGTTTAGCCCTGAAGGTTGGGAAAATGGATACGGAGTCGAACATTGAGACGAATTTACGTCGGATCGTGGAGCCGTTGAAACAGCTGGTTCAAAATATAGCTATGGAAGCGAGCGATAATACACCGATCGTGGATCGGCCGTCGGATCCACAAACGCAGTCGCTGTTCTCTACGAAGAAGGTGGAGAGAAAATGGAACAAGAAGAAGAAGAAGAGGAAGCATGACGAAGCAGCTTTAACGCCAAGGATGCATTTGAAGAAGAAAAAGAAAATATATTCCTCTGTTCCTACCAACGATGACATCGACTATGTGTTGTATGACAACGATGACGATGACGACGGCGACGATGATGATGGCAACGACGGTGGCAACAGTGACGATAACGAGGCAGGTGGCAATAAGGCGCTCGAACCGATACCTACGATACTTTCGGCGCAACAGGAGAAAGCTTTCGAATCGTCTCCAACGGCCACAGCATCGTTGGAATCATTGGTGCGAGACATTTTGAAAAGTCCTGAAACGCACCGCGACGAATGCGAACATTTGTTCAACAATCTTGGACCTTTAGCAAGCAAATACTTGCACAATTTCTTTAGCCGACCACCGAAAAATTTGGATAACGTGTACGGAGCGTATTTTCACAATGACAAACTGATGCTTGGAAACACCACGTTTGATGTTGGAAGCAACGTCGATATCGTTATCAATAAAATTACGTATAAGGGAACTCCAGGTCTCTACGAATTGATATTCAAAGAAATACCCGACGAGAACCTGTACACCGAGACCGATAAGAATATTTACAGAAACATTCTCATCGCTACGCGCGCGCATCAACGAGGTAACCAGATAATGGGGAATAAGGGTTACAAGTACAAAACTATCATAGGGCCGATATTTTCGACGTTGCGTGGAAAGGGTATACAAATTCCAACGATGATGCGTGTAACCAACAATCCGATCGATTACGTGCATTGGGACGATCCCAACGAGCTGGTGGATCGTTTGAAATTGCTGATGGCATCGAAAAATGCCGGGCACACTGGTCACGATAACGAAATAATATCCATAATCTAAGAACTTCGCGAAGCCGGATTGATTATAAATTAAATAGTTCGATACTCGTTATTGCAGTAATGAATGAAATGCCTGTTGATAAATTTAACACGTGGTTCGATAGAACGAGCATTCGTTTGAATTGCTGCGAAACCAATCAAACGATATCCGTGGACGAAAATTGGAACGATAGATTTACAAATATTGAGTTGAGACTCGACCACGTTTGTCAACAAATACATCAGATTAAACAACAACAACAACAAGAACTGCTCGAAATATCGTCGAAAGAGCAGAAGATAATGATTGAACCGAGAAACGAGAAAAATGTTGCGGTAGCGGCAGCAGCAGCAACCGAAGAAACCTCGGTAGCATAAAGTTAAACGAAGAATTCATTCATCTTTCGTTTTGAAGCGACCGCGAACCCAATAAAGCAAGAGAGAGAGAGAGAGGTATCAGTGGTAATCATGAGCGACGAAAAAGTAAAGTTGGTGAACGAACTGCATGCTCCAGCGAAGCATTTCTTTCCGCGCAGGCGAGTGATCGTGCGAGGACTCGACGATCTTTGNCGCAGGCGAGTGATCGTGCGAGGACTTCACGGTCTTTGGCAAGCCGACATCGTCGAGGTTCAACGATATGCTAGAGATAATAGAGGACATCGATACATTCTCACAATAATCGATGCATTTAGCAAATATGCTTGGGCAGTCCCTCTGAAAAGTAAAAATGCCAACGACGTGTGCAAAGCTTTCGCGTCGGTGTTGAAAAAGTACGGTAGAATACCGAACAATTTGCAGACCGACATCTACAATAAAGATTTTCAAGAATATCTGAGAAAACACAACGTCAAACACTATTCCACGTACAGCACCATGAAAGCATCCATAGTCGAGCGATTCAATCGTACGCTGAAGAACAACGTGTGGAAATTCTTCTCGTTGAGCGGAAAGTATCGATGGATCGACGAGCTTCCCGCATTGATAGAAAATTATAATAATCGAAAACATCGTACCATCCGTATGCGACCAGTAAAAATGCGAAGACTCTCTTGTCCACCGTCTACAGCAACGTTAAGATCGCCGGTCCTGCGAAATTCAATGTTGGCGACTACGTGCGCATAAGCAAGTTCAAAACAGTGTCCGACAAAGGATACACGCCGAACTGGTCGATGGATGTATTTAGGATCATTGCGGTGAAGCGAACCAATCCCGTCACATACCTGTTGACCGACTCGAAGAACAAACCTATCGCCGGGGGATTTTACGAACACGAGATGCGCGCTACCAAGTATGCCGACGTGTATTTAGTAGAAAAAGTATTGCGTAGAAAAGGGAATTAAATATATGTAAAATGGTTGGGACACAATTCGTCGCATAATTCTTGGATAAACAATTCATCTGTACTTTAATCATATATAATGTATTTTTCTTTTTATTGAAGAAAATACAAAATTATATTAGCGTAAATGTTTTTACATTAATACTGATTCATCTCTTCCACACTTTCAACGATTCGCTTTCGACACGATTGAATCTAAGCATAGAGCTAGCAGTTCACAATCGATTAAACAATTTTGTTGGAACGATTCGTTTGCGAGAATCGCGGCAGCGTAATTCTTATTATTACTATTCTCGATACTTCTTACAATATCGACGAGCTTTACGAATCTATCCCGAATTTCCGGAATATTTTCCAGTAACCATGAATACATATGATCGATGCATAACTCTAATTTGTAACATAGATCGATGTATGAAAATTGAACAACTTGACTAGATTCATTTCATTAAAATTAACTATCTGTAACGATAAATTCTCGTCGATTCGTTTCTCCTTCTTGTCCATGTTGAAGCAACTGTTTTTATAATCTCTAGTTTTTATCAGCAGTTTCCACGTAGACATCGAAAAAGAAATCTCCGCTCCACGATTGTCCCCCAAGATGAATTCGACGCCCATATTTTCATCCACACGCACGCAAATTTCGAGGATCTTGAAATAGCTGCCAATTATGGAGTATCTTCTACCCAAGATTCGCGCGTTGCATCGTATCGGCTGCTGCTGCTGCTGCTGTTGCTGCTGCTGCTGATGCTGAAACGTTCGTTTAATAGGAGTGAAGTGTCTATAAAAACGAGAAAACACATTATTTTCATAACTCGTAATTCCTTCTACCCAAAGGAATGCTTTTTACTTACCCATAGTTTTTTCGTTTGTTTGCACCACTACCGTCGTGGTGGCAAATTGTCAAATCTATTCTTGTACACAAAATTATCGGTTTACATGGTATGTACGTATATAATAATAACACCGATGAATGACTGTGCAATGAGCTGTCTGTAGAACACAGTACGCGTTTGAGTTTATGTATGCAATTATCCAACCATTTTGTCTCCCCTCCCTACACACACGACTAAGAAGCGTATACGTCCCCCTTCCACTTGTGTAAATGAGTGCGCGCGCAACTTGGAATTCGTCAGATGGAGGAAAATTTGGATGAGATCATGGAGTAGTAACCGTTTTCTCTCTCCTAGCGATATCGTAATGTCCCCAAGGAAGAGTATCGATCGAATTACTGGTAATGTAGCGTTTATCGTCGTACGGCCTCAGCGCTAATTTTATCTGCGATATCGAATATATGCGATGCTTTACAGATTTTATCAATTTAATGCAAACCGACTTTTCCAAGTGATCGTAAAGGCATGCCATAGTCGTCAAAAGTTATACTTTTGATCGTCGCGTTGGTCCTAATTCCTTTAATTTTTTTCACATCGTTTTTGTTCTGTACCCGAATCGCGTACATTTTCGAGCGAAGACCCACAAACTCGGTCATGATTTTGCCCCCGTTCTCGTCCTTCATCAATCCGATGACTTCGTTGTTCGCGATTGGAACACCATACGCGTTGTTTCTGTCATAATTGCTGGTATCGTATCGGTCAATGTCCGTGAACAAAATTTTGCATCTCTCTTGAAAATTTGGAAGCATGTAGCTGTAATGAAAATCGTACAAACGTAATTTCGATATGTCCAACACCGACATGCCTATGTAAACGGATTTATAAAATTTAATGGAAAGCTGTTTTATTTGAATCGCAACAAAATCCTCGGAGAATACGGTATAGCTGTGGAAATTTGGTCGGGATATTAAACGTTCTGCACCATGTCGACCGCTCCATCGCGAGAGCAACATCACGTTCACGCGATCTCGCACGTTCTCCATCGTCTTTCCGAAAACCGCGTTGTTCATCAGTTTGAACAGATTCCTCGGGAAATCTGTGTTCGCGCTGGCGCGCAATCTTGTGTTTAAATCTATATAAGCACGTAATTTTAAATTATGCCTCAAACATTGCTGGAGGTATCGATAATGGAGAACGTAACGGTTCTTGTCGTTAACCATTGCTAGCAATTTCTTTTGCGACGCTCTAACAATTTCTTTCCTGGGGATACTCCAAGTTGACCTCTAAAATGTATCCGACGGGACTGTCGATCGGCACGGATTCGACGTTGAAATCGCTCGCATCGTCGACCCATCGGAAACCTCTGTGCGGCAAAGGTTGCGACATGGCCCAACCGTACAAATTATTTTAACGTCGAAATACATCAGATAAGTGGACGGTTAGTTCGAATCGTACGTCGACATGTACTTGTTATTCGTGCGCGCGTAACGATGCGAACATTGACTCAACCCACCCCGTACTCCCCGCTCCACGAACAAAAGCATGTTCTTGTCGATGAGCAATTCTAACTCGATCTTCGTTATCTGTAGCATCGCGACCCACGCGAAACCGGGCAACGTGTAATAGTGCACTGAATCGAGGATGTAATTATCGAGCGACATTTCGCGAAAATTTTCAAACACGTCCGCCAACAACAGCACGTCTACTTTCAAGTACAGGTCGTACAGTCAAGTACAAGTTGAAACGTGACCAAACTTCGCTTGCGTGGCGGTAGTCGACATCGGATATCTCGCTGTAAAATGCTTCGCGCGACGGTAAACGGGTGTCGCTTAATTTATCGTAGGTCGCTACGTAGTCGTACGGGAAAACACCTTTCCTGGTTAGCAGATGGAAATCGTCGTCACAAATTTTCCCGAATTGGTTCCTCAAGATTCGCAAATCGCTTTGGTTAAGATACGACGACAGCTTGTCCAGACTGGAGTTCAAAAACTTGAAGGAATCAACGAATCGGAATGTTTCTTCCACGATTTGCCCACGTTCTTCGCGTGTTTCGTAAAAGAAATGGATGCGTTAGCCAACTCCTTGATGATGAAGTGTGCGTCGTAGCCGGACAAGTTGTGAAAAAACACAGGTACCACGAACGAAGAACGGTAGCCCAAATTGCAATTTTTGTGTGCTGGACCACGATACGCGCCCGTGAAATGACAATGATCGTGCACTCGTACGTCGCGATCGCCGAATGGTTTTTCGCACACGTGGCAATGCGTGGCGGTATGGAATTCCGAAATTTGCGCGGCAGTCATTGTAGCCACCGAAACCACCCGATCGAACGTCGCTGCAATTTAAGGCTCAACTTGTAAAACTCCGATGCGAATCACACGATACAATCTTTCTCGTTGCGATAAGTCCGATACTCGCATAGGGAGCTGTCGTATCGACAATGAAGATAGTAGCCCACGCTGAAGGCACAGTGATGCTGATATCTGCGACAAGTTCCATGACCTTGATCTTCCTGTTTCTCCAGCGGGCATTCCAAGTCTGCGTAGATAACGAACGGTGCCGGTTCCTTGTACGCGTGGTTCTTGAACTTCAGCTACTTATCGTCTTCCGTCGGAAGCATCAAAGCGCATTCGTTCATTCGACCGCAGTCGACGACGTGAATGTCCAATTTTTCCTGCGATCTGAAATATTGCAGACATCTGAAAAAGAAATCCATGTATAATTTTCTTCTTCGAAACAAAAATGAATTTGAGTACAGTACTTACCGATCGCAAATATACTTATGATGCCGCGTGCTGGGCTGGGAAATGATTCCGCAAATTTATCGTATCCTGTAGAAACAACAAATTTGCATGTTTCTCCCGTTTCCTCGAGGTTAGGTGCAACGTTTGACAGCTTTCTCGTTTCCTATCCCATTCGAACACGTTCACGGAAACGTCGTTCCTTGAACGACATCGGCATTTGGAATCCCTCGGTACGGAGCACATCGCCGCAATGCGGATAGGATGATGCGCGATACGAACGATCTTTAACTGGATACAGACTTGCCACCACTGTCCAATAGAAACACGCGTCGTCGTTACTGTTCACGTTGACGACGGCTCTCTTCAGTTGCACTGCTCGGGGCACGGGTATCCCGCAACCTGCATGCATCGGTTGATACTTGTTGGAATTCACGATCAAGTGCAAAATCTTCGACAACGCCCATCCGCTTTCCCGTTCTTGAAACTCCTGGATCGAGGCCAGAAGCGTAGGCACAACATCTTTCGCGTACCAGTGACGTAAATTGGACGATCGGAAGAGCGCGAAGTTTCGCGTTTTAAAACTTTTCATCGAAATCTCGTCGCGCAACACAAATTCTGCCTTCAATACCACGTTCACTTTCAACGACGAATGATCGTTTAAGAGTTCCATAACGCGACTCGTAACTATTCGCTTCGCGTGTTGCAAGAAATAACGCGGATCAATATGCTCGACGTTGATCACGATGCCGGTCGATATGCGATTTTGAAACGCCGACTTGGTGTTCTCCCAACGAAGAGTCGATGCTCTCGCGCCAATGCTTCCGTACAAACCTCTGCCAACGCGAGAGCAACGACGAAAAGCGATGACACAGCGCAGCGTTCAATGTTTCCATGCGACACACGATCGAGTGTAAGCTCGATTTTACACTCGTGGATCCTCGGTTTATTTTCTCGAGGTTCATGCATTTTCTACACAACCGCAAACACTCGATGTACGATTTCGCCCATTTGCGATACTCGTCGATAGTTTGGATCAACATCGACATACGAGTCGATAGTTGTAACATATCCTTGCACACTTGCGCCATCTTACGAAAATTTACTTACGAAGCAAACTTTTCAATTTCAATTTAACGTCTTCGGTTAAATTACCAGTTTTAACAAACTTAACTAAACTTTGCATCAACCAACCGTTGCGACTCTCCCCCATCCCGATGGAATCTAGTATCGCGTAAACGTCGCACGAAAGAAAATATCTTGGACGTTGCGAGGGATTGCAAGGATGACACGCTCGCGATGGATGTTGCAAACGAACAAACTTCCATAATGATTCGCGACTGAATAGCGAATTTAGCGAAAGAAAATTCAATAAGATGAGAAAACTGACACCATGGGAAGATGACGCGTCCGAGAGTCATCCGGGA